CCCCACCCTGTTCCCCTTCTCCGGCTACGAGGTCTGGCACTGGACGTGTTGGCGTGTGCCATCCTCGAAATCATCTTCGTGGTAGGCTTCGCCGGTGTAGGGCCGTCGGCCCGGCCCGCTGTGGGATGTGTAATCGCTGAGCTCTACCTCCTCCGTGTCCTCCGTAGCCATCACCTCCTCCTGGGGTGGGAAGAAGGCCTGGAGCTGGCGCAGGCGGTCGGTGGGGAGCCAGCCGGGCTCCGGGAACTTCACCTACGACCGGAGAAGGGAGATGGAGGTGTGGAACAGACAGGTGGGGACCCCAGGGATGGGGGATGCCAGTTCCTGCTCCTCACCTGGAACTGCAGGATGAGTTTTCCCTTCTGGAAGGGGCTCCTGTAGACGGGCATCCCCTCGTTAGGGATGCACTTCTGGTCCCCGGGTCGGATAACGTCACCTGAGACCAAAATTAATGTCACCTCGTTGTGCCTGGCAGCTCTTAGTAACCCCCTTGGTTTCTTGTGGGGGTATCGCAGAGCACCCCACCCCATCCCGTCCCATCCCATCGCACCTGGTTGGGAAGAGACGAGCAGGGTCCTGTTGTCCAGGGTGCGGATGACCTGTCTGCAGCCACACAGCGCGTCCGCCAGGCTGATCTCCCTCTTAACGATGAGGTCGTCGCCGCTGCGTCGGAAAACTGGGTGTTCTTTCTGATCCAGGACGATGATGATGTCCCCAGGCTCCAGGCCGGGAACCTGGTCCCCTTCCTCATGGAAAGTGATCTTCTGCCCGTCCTTCATGCCTGCGGGGTACACAGGGAGAGTTCAGGGCATGGGGGTCAGTTTGGGGGTGACCCCCACTCCCCACGTGGCCTCGTCTCACCTTTATCCAGGTGAACGCTGAGGATCTTCTTCTCTCGCACGACTTTGCGGCCGTTGCAGGTGAGGCAGCAGTCCCGAGGCCGAATCCACTCGCCCTGGCCCTGGCACTGGGAACACACCATCTGGATCTGCTGGACCATGCTGGGACCCAACTGGTGGATGCGAACCTCCATGCCCGAGCCGTGACACTTGGGACATCTCCTCTGGGCACCCTCCCGTACCCCGCAGCCTGCGGCGAGGGGAGGCAGAGGGGTGAGCAGCCGGGCTGCGGTGCTGGGGAGGACACCCCGGCCACCCCGGCGCCTTTGTCACTCACCTCCGCATTTCCTGCAGATGATGTTCTTCTGGAGGGACAGCTTGCGCGTGGTGCCGTTGTAGAGATCCTCCAACGACACCGAGAGCTGGTGCACCACCGTTTTCCCTGGATGGATGGAGGGGAGAATCCGGATCAGCGCCTGGCCATACGCCACCCCCTGAGCCACAACCAGATGGATGCCAGCCACCGCGCCTCGGCATCACCGGCTCTCCACGAGGAGCGGTGGCTGATGGCTTCCCTCC